TTTTATTAGAATAGTCCTGTAGTATTGTCTCAAAATAARCTACTGAAAAGTCAGCATTGACCTTAAACTACATCTCCCAAAATGCACGTCGAATATGCATGGGAGTTTCCTGTGGGAAAATGGTAGAGTTCAGAATTCAAGATTTACCACAACTCAACAGTGAGTAAAACTTTTACTTTTACTCTTATTTTTACATTTTTTTGTATTATTTGTTTTGCTTAGTTAATCGTACACCTAGTACTTTTTAATGTTTACAAGAGGATGTGTTAGAACACTGTTTTTATGCAAGAAATACCACATAGAGCTCAGTTTTGTTTGTTAGTAGGGCTCAGGCATGAAACGAGGAACATGATGTTTTCTGTTAGGTCAAAGTTAAACAAAACATTGACGTTAATTACAACTGGCCCTATGAGGGCCACCATAACATTTAAAAATAATTTGACGTACATCTTGCAAACCAAAGACAAGCTGCCAAGAGAAGAGGTTTTCTCTTACAACTATTCAAATAAGCCATACTTGTTCTGTCTTATCCTGATTGTCCTGCCCTCAACTTTAATCTCTATCCTGCCAACTGAGGCTTGTAGAGTCTAAGCTGGAAGTCTGAGGCTTTTTGTCATTTCTATGAGTGTATTACATGGTCTGCCCTTGAGGTGAATTTACTTGGATGTCCACTTGTAGGACTGGCAGTTGTCCTAAATRTTTTCCACTTCTGAATGTTATTTCTCTGTGTAGAACGATGGACTTCAAATTGTTCAAAAATAGCATTTGGCCTTTCCCAGATTGATCTGCAGCAACTATTTCTCTAATCATTGCTGATGTCTTTCCTCCTTGTCACTGTGTTATCACACATCTGTAGCAAACTGACAAATTCATGCTTTTATACATCTGATCAGCAGCACCTGACTGATAATGAACCTCCTAAATCATGTGTTTTGAATTTTTTTCTTAAATATCATGACATGACTGAATTTATTTTTTGTACACAAAGTCTTAATACATAAAAGTGTAAAACAACAAGAATGCATGTCCTATCCATAACCAGATATATCATACTTCACCTGTCAGTGGTCATAATGTTATGGCAGTTGAACGCATTGCTTAAGTTTTGAGACAAATCCTGTAAAACGGTTTTCTAACTTCCCAAGCCAGAAGAAAAAAGTCTGACCTGTGGTTTTTGTGAGATTCAGCTGAATTAATTCATAAAATAATTGTCTAATAAAAGAACTGAAGGCTGGCTGGGTTTGTTTAAAATAATAATTGTCCTTAAAATCCATTTAGTGACCAAACCTACGTGTTTTTAAAACAAATTCTGATTACCTGCTGTTAACTGCGGCAGACATACCCCATGGGACTCTGAAGTATCTACTTATAAAATGAACCCACTTCTGTTGTGATTTAACATCTTTAAGAAGAAACAGAACATATCAGGTCTACCAATGAGCACAAATCAAACCAAGAACACATCATCTAGATCATCCTGTCTTTGTTTTATTATCTCACTTCATTGATTCTTTTGATTTAATACAAAAAGCTGAGCTCTAAACCCTCCAATCCTCCATGAAAAACCTGCTTAACCTCGTCTTTCTGCACCTGTAAGTGCAGTTTGATGGATTTAAYGGACATTTACAGCACTCATGACTGATTCTGCTTCTGAAATTAACATTTGTAGTAACATTTGGGTTTGCTGGAGAGACATTTTACGCTCCCCAGGTGTAATAATTGCAACCCTGAAAATCATTAGCATAAGAAATATAACTGATGTTACCAAATTTCATGACAAGTTAAAGTAAAAAYATATTAAATCTTTTTAGGTGTCATCAAACAAAAGTTTGAAGTGTCTAATTGGGTAAAAGTATATCTGAATTATAAAGTTAAGTCTACTAAAGTCTGTAATATTCAGAACAAATAAGCAGCTATCATGGGAAACACAGCGTAACGCTCTTTTACAAAATAGTATTTTTGTTAAGATGATACACAAAAACGATGGTAAAGAGCCGAGGCTCCAGCGCTGCATCAAAACAGCCTGCCCACTGCATCAGTGCTCTCCTCTCTGTAGGTATATGGCTCTCATCGCCATGGCAACCAGCTCACAATGTATTCACAGCTTCGAAACGAGTGTAGGCTGAGAAAAGCAGGTTGCTTTTATATTACCTTTTTTATTATTATATAATAGCAAGATGATTTTTTTCAAGCTCTATTAAATTATCAGTTTTGCATCAGCTGAGGTTGCACAACATGACAGCTGCCTCACACACACACACACACACACACACACACACACACACACACACACACCGGTCATACATGTCACACGTGTTACATTTGTGTCAGCAATTAAAGGGGTCTAAATAAAGACATGCACTAATTCCAGAGAGATTCACACTGAATTAAGTTGTACTTCACAGAAAATATATGACCGACTTACAAAAACAATGAGAGGCTTTTGTTTCCAGGATAAAAAAAACTGGGATCATAATAAATGATTCATAAGATATAAAAAGAACTGTAAGAAGTTTTTACATGAAGAGGCTTTTCAGCGTGTCTTGTAATGTTATTCTGACTGCATCGTTACACAAAGCGAGGGGTACCAACATCTTGTATCCTGTGCATGTCTAACTAACACTCACATCCCACWCTCAGCCTGAGTGACTTGACCTGTTCCATCTGACCGTCATGATGACATAGTCCTAATCTGCTTCTTTTAAAAACACTCTCAACAATCTCTGCTTCRTCACCTACAGAACTTACTTTTATTTAAGTCAGTTTACAACTTAGAAATGGTCAGCCACCAAAAAAGCTTATTTTTATTATTTAATTCATTGCATWTCAAGAGATTCTAAATTACCAAATCCTCTTGCACATTTGATTTAATAATGCTATGAAGCATTCACACTATTAACTGACTGCTGGATAATGGGCACCAGTGACCCCCTGACCCTGAGAGGAAGAAACGGGTATAAATAATGGATGGATGGATGGATGGATGGATGGATGGATGGATGGATGGATGGATGGAAGGATGGATGGACAATATATTAGCATCTAACTCATTCCAAAATTTGTGTGTTATTTCAATAATTCATGTATCAAAACATTCAACTCATTTATGTTGAGGCTGCTATGACTTTTGGTATTTCAGGTATTTTTAATTTATCAGCTATTCCCCTTTTTTAAACACTTTGTTTCTTTTTGAAAATAAATGGAGCTGTTTTCAACATCCTTAAAATCTTTCAAAATGTTTCAAAATCTTTRCCTTACTCATTTTGTTCTGATTATGCTCTTTTGAACTTCCTTAAGCTAATTTTAGCTACTTCTTTGCTATTTTTAGCTTTTTCTGCTATTTCAGCTAAAATTCTGCTTCTTTCTGCTATTTCTCTGCTATTTTCTACTTTTTTGAGCTTTTTTCGTCTATTTTGTGTTATTTATGCTTCTTACAGATTCTTTATGCTATTTACTGAAAATTTTGCTAATGTTCATCTGTTTTAGCTAAAGTTAGCTTTTTTAACCTAAAACATTTTTATAGCTATTACAACTTATTTTTGCTAAATTCAACAAACCTGTGCTCCTCATGTTTCCTCATGCTAATAAAGAATTCCCAGCTACTTTTTAGCTGTTTTAATGAAAATTTCAGCATTTTTATCTATTTTACTACAAAGTATCACTTTTTTTGTAATTCTATGGGGTTTTTTTTCCCTGCTAATTTTAAACTTTTTTCAACACTTTCACTATCTGGGTGGTAATTTCAACTTGTGTCTGCAACCTTTAGCTTATTTATATGCTAATTTTAGCTTTGTTCTGCTAATTCAGCTATAATTCTACTCCTTTCTATTTTTCTTCTGCTAATTTCTGCTTTTTTTTGCTGCTTTCAGCTTTTCAAATTGCACTTGCATTAATTGTTTTGCTATTAAACATTTTCAGCTTTCCTTAAGCTTCTGTTTCCAGCAAGAAGCATTCACCCTAGCACTTTCAAAGGAAATGCAATTTCTTTAGTTCAAATTACATTTAGCTTAGTTTATTCATATACTGTATATCATGATTCATGTGTTTTGGATTATTTTGTCATGTCATGCCTGGACTTCCATACCTCTGCTGACCCATGGACTGATCACTTAACCACTCACCTGTGCCTGTCTGATATCTCACCTGTGCTCTTCAGTATTTAAGCTCCTTCCAAACACAGCACAGGTGCTGGATTATCTGAAGCTTTTCTGCAGATAAAATCAAGCATGTCTTCAAGCCATGCCACTGTGAGCTCAAACTTGTTCTCTGCCTCCTGATCCTCTGCTCTTCGCCTGTCCCCTGTCTGGTTTTTGTGATCTTGGATGGATTTGACCGTCTGATTCCTGACCCCTCTCTAACTGCTGATTTCTGTCCCTCTGCCAGTGGACTCCACGTTAATGAACCCAGGGCTGTTTCTTTCACCATGCTTCCCCTATCGCCTATGGATTTCCTTTGGACTTTTCTCCTCTCACTCAGAGAAACCATTGACAGGTCATTCTTTGCTGATCTGTGTTGGATTCATCATCATCACCAGTCCCCATCCCTCTCTCTCTCTGCCGGGCTTTTGAGTCCTAAAACCATTCAAATACAGTATGTTGCAAATTCACACCAAAAGTCATCTCAGGGTACTGTAAGAAAATATAATATACATTAAAACATGCCAAAWAGGGAAAATTATCTAAAGGCCCTGTCACACTAATGTTTTAGACAACTTATGCCAACTTGTGAAAATTTGAAAGACATTTACTACATTAAAAATGGATTTAAAAAAATCAATCTGGAAACCTCTCTTAGGCATGAAGATACTATTGCTAACAAAGTGATCAACTATAGAACTTTTATTAGTAATTAGACATAATTTGTCTAAAACATTATAGTTTGMTGGGGCCTTGAGAAAGCCAGCAGATTGTTGTTGTTGTTGTTGCTGTTTCTTTTTTTTGGCATCAGGAATAAAGATTTTCAAAGTTAGGGCCTATTAATGGTAACAGATGCTGTCCTACCTGTTCTTTGATCTCTTGAAGTTTGTTGCTCTGCTCCCGGATGTCGTGGAGGAGCTGCAGGGCTTTATCGTCCTCCTGTGTCACTTCCATACGGGCTTGTTCTAAACTGCGCTTAAGACTCTGAAATCAAGATTTGCTTCATACAGGATGATGCAAAACGTGTAAACAATGAAACATGCAGTTATAAGTTTAATAAATTCTGAAACAAATTCACTTTGTCGTCATTTTGATTTCTATTAAACTGTTCAGAGCTCTTCTTCCAGTGTTTCACATGCGTATCATGAATAATTCATGGTATCCTGTGGGTTTTTAGATTTTGTTTGACTACAGAACAACTTACGCTGCATTCAGTGATGTAAGTCGCCAGGTCCTGCTCCAAGATTGTCCTCTGAGTCTCTGAGGCCTTCAGCTCAATGTCTTTCTGTTGCAGCACAGACTCGAGGTCGGACATCTTGCTTTGGACCAAAGAGATCTCCTGCTCAACCTGGTTTAAAATAGTAATAAAAAACAGTATTTCAGAACTTTTCACTGGAAATAACAAAAAAAATTAAAAAATTTATTTAAACACCTTACATAAATAAAAATTATATTCAGTTTATTTATATAGCCCCAAGTCACAACAAACCTCTCAGGGGACTGAACAAAAGAAAAGAAAAGGGGGAAAAAAAGAAACAATTTAAGAAAGCCAACAGTTTGTGTTGAATATTTACTTCTTCAGTCTCCCATCCTGAGCAGCACTTTAGCATAAAATTAGCACTTTTGCAGAAATGTGGGTGTCAGGGTCTTTATTCCCATCCCGTTCCCTGACTGCCATTTGGGGAGGGGGTCCTGAAGAAGGGCACACCGCCGGGTGAAGTCCTGGGCTGTGGGTGGGCTTGGGGCTTGGACGGTCACTGGGGGCGGGGC